TTGTACTGATGTTGTTTCCCTTTTCTGCTTTAAAGACAAAATAACATGAACTATTGTCACTGACAGCTGTGTGAGACGTGTGTCACAATGTGTGCGTGCATGCGTCTTTACTTCAGGATGTATTTTAAATACCTTCCAATAACCTACAGTTGTGTCAGATGTATCTGTAATCTGAACACATTCATTACAGTAACGTTTCATTTCTAATTATCCTGAATGTAATTACGTATTGAGCTTCTCCCAAAGCAGTGAGATCGCAGCTCTCTGTGGGCCGTAAAACAAATTAATAACCATGGAAATATTTCAGATGGTGTGTGTTTGTGTGTGTGTGTGCGTGTGTGTGTGTGCGTGTGTGTGCGTGTGTGTGTGTGTGTGTGTGCGTGTGTGTTGCAGTGATCTGCACCACAACAAGATAGAGGAGCTGGAGGAGAACACCTTCCAAGATCTGGTCTCACTACGCTCTGTGTAAGCACACACACACACACACACACACACACACACACACAAAAACAGGCTCACAGAACTGTGTCCACGCAAGTCGATGGAAGGTTGTTGGTTTGAATCCCTCCCTGCATCCTCTGGTTCAGCGACTTGTCGTGGAACAGGTTGTCGTCAGTGAAGCCGACGTGGTTCTCCGCTCTGCCTGCTCTCACCAAACTGTGAGTAACTGAGTGAAGATGTCAGATAACAACCTGAATAAATCCCGGTAGCGATACCGTGTTCAGGTACAAGTACCTCAAAGTTACTCTTCTACTTTCCACCTCCGGTCACGGCGGGATGGAAACGTCCTGTGCTGTGAAGTGATGCAATGGATTCTGTGTCTGTGCCTCCTGCAGCGACCTGTCGTCCAATCAGCTGTCGTCTCTGCCTCTGATTGGTCTGCAGACTCTGACTCACCTGCGATTGGCTGGAAACACGCAGCTGATGGCGTTAATGCCGCAGGAGGAGCTGCCTCGAGTCAGGTGATCGCTCATTTATTGTCACATGACTGTTGATCTCAGATGAACTAATCACGGCTTCGTAGTTTCACTGAGGCGCTCAGGATTTAATGCTTTTAACATTACAAGTTTAAACTTTAACTACGAATGACTTGAGATGTCATGGTTTTGAGGAAATAACGCTGTAGTGCTCATCGTGCTTTTCCTCATGCAAAGTGTTCAAGGACCGTCGGAAAAGATTATAATCTGACCATAACGATATTTTCTGCAGCTTCTGGATGTGAACGGTGAAGTTAGGCGACTGTTTAAAGAAAACGTGCGTTTCCATCCAGCCGGAAACGTCCAGTTATTATTTACACACAAACAAATAACAGCCTTCTAGCGTTAAGACACAGTCCAGTGTTTACTGACCACACCTGAGAGTCAGAATGCCAGACAACGGTTTACAGCGTTGGGTTGAATTCCTTCCTCCAGCTAATCACACCTGTTGTCGTGGGGATAAATATCTGAATCAAAGTTTATTGTGTTTATTGCAATCATCAATTTAAACTAGTTGTAATAGTTATAAATGATGTATTAATACTGATTAAACTACTAGCAGTACATCAAATATTTCCTTACAAACTTCAAAATGAATTGTTAATGCATCGATACTGAAACGAGTCATTCTGCTTCATACTTAACTTTATCTTGTGTAAGATATTGAATGCAGGAAGTCCTTCTTCCACATGGACACAATAAAGGAGTAAAAATGGGGTTTGTTTGTGTGTTCAGGGTGATAGAGCTTCCTTACGCCTTCCAGTGCTGTGCCTTTGTCTCCTGTGAAAGGAGAGGAGGAGGAGGAGGGTCTTCCTGGGAGAGAGAGGAGGCAGTAGACTCTGTGAGAGAGACCTCCGTCCTCTCCAGCCAAGGTGACCCAGAACAAAACTAAACAACAACAAGAAATCAAAGAAATTAGAAGCTTATTGGTATTAAGGAGTTAAAGATGAGAATCACCAGAGAAACTATTATCCCGGTACCTCTGCTACAATATTTACGTCCCGAAAATTATTTGCAACGATACTTATGTCGCGATACTCATGTCGCGATACTCATGTTGAGATACTAATATCGCGATACTCATGTCGCGATACTGACATCACGATACTTATGTCATGATACTCATGTCGAGATACTCATGTCGCGATACTCATGTCGCGATACTCATGTCGCGATACTCATGTCGCGATACTCATGTTGCGATACTATTATCACGATACTTATGTCACGATACTCATATCACGATACTTATGTCACGATACTCATATCACGATACTTATGTCACGATACTCATATCACGATACTCATGTCACGATACTCATATCACGATACTCATGTCACGATACTCATATCACGATACTTATGTCGCGATACTCATATCACGATACTTATGTCACGATACTCATATCACGATACTCATGTCACGATACTTATATCACGATACTCATGTCGCGATACTGACATCACGATACTTATGTCACGATACTCATGTCGAGATACTCATGTCGCGATACTCATGTCGCGATACTCATATCACGATACTCATGTCGCGATACTCATGTCGCGATACTGACATCACGATACTTATGTCACGATACTCATGTCGAGATACTCATATCACGATACTCATGTCGCGATACTCATGTCGAGATACTAATGTCGCGATACTCATGTCGCGATACTCATGTTGAGATACTAATATCGCGATACTCATGTCGCGATACTGACATCACGATACTTATGTCGCGATACTCATGTCGCGATACTCATATCACGATACGTATGTCATGATACTCATATCACGATACTTATGTCACGATACTCATATCACGATACTCATGTCACGATACTCATATCACGATACTCATGTCGCGATACTCATATCATGATACTTATGTCACGATACTCATATCACGATACTCATGTCGCGATACTCATATCACGATACGTATGTCATGATACTCATATCATGATACTTATGTAAGCCTAACACCCTTTTTGGGTTTCAAACACATTAGTTTGCAACCTTCTCAACCTCTTTTTAGCCAATCAAAACAAAGGCAAATGTTTTTGATCCCTGATCACGTTTTGTTTCTCACTACTTTCCGATTGTTGATGATCCATTTTAACAGACTAGTCGAAAGGTTTAATTTATTGTTGCAACATTGATATTATGAAACATATTTCCCCTCTAATGACAAACAATATTGCGATCTTATTTTTGTAGATTGATGTTTCAAAGTAAAAGTCTTTTGGAGACTGACTGCTCTCTTTGTCTGCAGTTGATCAGGACTGGGAGGATTTTCTGTTGGAGTTTGAAGAAGAACCTAAACCTCAACACTCTGTCCACTGCAGCCCTGCACCAGGTACATGTTACTTATATAGTACATGAGTATCTCTATGTACTGTATATTCATCATTACTATTTCACAATAGCGATGCTGTTTTAATTATGTGTCATTTTATATTATTATAATTATTGTGAGTTTTGGGGTTTCAATGCTTCAGCAACATTATTTTCATTTTACTTTCATGCAAATTAACCCACATTCAATTGGATTGACTACAGGGAAAATCAGCTGGTAAACAAAGATATATTTTATACAATATATATTTTTCAGTGACATGCTTTCGCAAAAATTGCTTTTCCAGTCTTTCTTCTGTCCTACAGTTATTTATTATTTCTCTTTTCAAGCGTTGACACAAAGTTTTGAAAACAAAGGAAACTGGAAGAAATTGAAGTATTTTTTTAAATTGAAGTTCAGAAATGTTTTGAGAGTAATTTGAGTAATTTTGAGAGAAACAAACTGTTAATCTGTAGGGAAGAAGGATGTGATTGATTGATCGGGTGTGAAGCCCACTGACACGCGTTCAATTCTCCTCCAGGTCCGTTCCGCCCCTGCCTCCATCTGCTGGGCGGCTGGTTGATCCGCGGAGGGGTGTGGCTTATTGCAGGCCTCTCATTGGTCAGCAACGGTCTGGTCGTCCTGTCAATCTTCTTCTCCCCCGCCTCCTCGGTGACTCCACCCAAGCTGCTGATTGGCCTCCTGGCGCTGGTGAACGGCCTGATGGGCGTGTGGAGCGGCTGGTTGGCGGCGGTGGACGCCTGGACGTTTGGCGGATTTTGGAGGTGATCTAGATTTATATTTACGCATCGTGGCAACTTTGACTACTCTGAAAAAATGATCTCCGCTGAAGAAATGTCTTCTTATCTAGTGATATCTAGCAATTTCAAAATAAAAGTCTCAGGTGTGCACCTGGTGTGTGATGCAGGTACGGGGCGCGGTGGGAGAGCAGCTTCCTGTGTCGCCTCAGCGGCTTCCTGTGTGTGTTCGCCTCGCAGACCGGCCTCTTCCTGCTCACCGCCGCCGCGCTGGAGCGCTGCCACACCGCCGCACGCCGCCGCGGCAAACCGGAGGGACGCGCCGGTGAGGGAAACAAACACACCTGGGTGGTGCGGTCTGATCTCTCTCCCCCTCCAGGTCGCTCCTCGCCGCTGGGCGCCCGTCTGGCGGTGTGTCTCAGCTTCCTGTTGGGCGTCGCAGTCACGCTGCCCCCCCTGGTGGCCGGACACAGTAGCAACTCCCTCTGTCTGCCGCTGCCTTCCTCCTCCTCCTCCTCCTCCTCCTCGGCCTTCACAGTCTCCGTGGTGCTCCTCGACTCGCTGTGCTTCCTCCTCATGACGCTCGCCTACACCCGCCTCTACTGCCGCGCCAACAAGGCCGCCGCCGCCGAGGAGGAAGAGGAGGAGGAAGAGGAGGAGGCGGCCTTGACTCGACACGTGGCCTGGCTGCTCTTCTCAGACTGCCTCCTCTACCTCCCCGTGGCCTTCCTCTCCTCCTCCTCGCTGCTCCGCCTCCCCGCCGCCGGCCCGGAGGCGGCCAGGGCGGTGCTGCTGCTCGTGGCGCCGCTGCCGGCGTGCGTCAACCCGCTGCTGTACCTCCTCTTCAACCCGCTCGCCCGGCAGGAGCTGGCGGCGCTCGCCCAACGGGTGCTCAGACGCCGCGGGGGGGGAGGGGGAGGGGGGAGGTACGACGAGGAGGCGGAGAAGCAGTCGTGTGACTCCACCCAGGCGCTGGTGGCGGTCGGAGGCGCGAAGGAGGAAGAGGAGGAGCAGCCGAGAGGAAGACAGCAGGGCAAGACGCGACATTCAGCGGCGTTTGTTCCTCATCAATAAACGCACACAGACACACACAGTGTGTGGTAACAAATCAGAGACGCACAAAGCAAAAATAAATACAAAACATGATCATACAAGACAGAAGAACGTTGATATGTCGTAATATCAACTCTGTGATTGGTCGATTTCAGGCTCCCACACACACACACACGCACACACGCACACACACGCACACACGCACACACACACGCACGCACACACGCACACACGCACACACGCACACACACACACACACTATAAGCAGTCAGCAACTTTTATTTTGAAAGATGACGAATTACAGCCCTGTGTTACTCGGCGTGTGTCTGTGTGTGTGTGTGTGTGTGTGTGTGTGTGTGTGTGTGTGTTTTGTGGGTCTTTGGAGAACTTCAGCGTCTGTGTGAGTTTTGTCACACAATCATAAAAACACACAATAAGCAGCAGTTGACTTGTTGTGAGTAATAATAGTTGTTATTAATGGAATAATGCGGTTGAATTTGTTTGTTGGATCCAAAGGATCAATGAGACAAACATTTATTGATCATTTATCACCAAATGTCGGCTGTTAAAAGAGAGAAGTTAAGAAGTTTTGTGTGACGACGCCACTTGGGAGGTGAAATCTGAACAAAGAAACAAAAGAGTCGTGAATGAGTGTGTGTGTGTGTGTGTGTGTGTCTGTGTGTGTGTGTGCGTGTGCATATTGTAAATACAAGCTACTGTGACAATCCTACGTCCTCATTGTGTAGTGAGAAGTGTTAAATGTGCACATTCACGTCTTTATTTTCATTTTTTCACACGGGTCACATGAACGTTTCTGCTGCAGATGGTTTTGAATCATCTAGCAGAATAAGTACGACGATAATAAAAGGTAATAACAACCATAATAAACGGATAATAAAGCAGTGACACGCTGGTTTACTGCTCTTATTATTATTAAAGCTTTTATTACATTTTTGTTAAAAACAGGTCTCAAATTGTTAAATTGTTACGTTTTTCAATCTTTGAATTTGTGTTTGTTTTGTTTACTTTTGTCTTTTTTGTTTTTCTAACGGTCCCAATTTATTACTATTTGTCTTTTAAAGTATATTTACTGAGGTTCTGTACTTAAATACAATCATCAGGTACTTATACTTCTTCTAAACATAAAAAATTCATTAATTTTGATGTTCTTTATTGTTTGATAGATATTCTTTATTTAACACAAACCATAAATCAACTGATTAATAATGATGACGTATTAAAGCATAAGATAGAACTTTATTGATTGTTAAAAAATTCTGCATTAAATGAAGTCTTAAAGAATTAGCTCGACTTCGACGCGCTGCAACGTACATGAACACACAAGAAATTATCTCACGTCGTTCAGTTATCAACTCTTCCTCTTCACGTTCTGAATGGATTTACTTTTAACTTGTAGTATTTATACACCGACTCTTGTACTACTTTTACTTTTAGAGATCAGATTTTAATCTCAATGTCACTCGAATAGATTTAAATCCTTCTGTCTGTCAGAAGGTGAGTCAGTGTAAATATTTAAAATCATTAAACAGAAAATGTTTTTAACTCAACTCAGTTTTCTTTATTTTAACTGTTGTTACAAACTTTTGAAAAGTCAGAAGGTTTTAAAAATGATGTAAGTATGAAGAACTAGTGTTTTGTTGCATTTTAAGTTCCTTTTTCTTTGTTTGTGTGGGCGGGGTCTCTCTTGTCTGGCCCCGCCCCCAGTCGTAACCATGGAAACCAGCATCGACTGTTTAAAAGTCAGGTTGATCTGCTGTACTTTCAACAATCAACATAAAAACATGATTTGTAGACTTTTGTAAAATATTGAAGTGTTTCGAGTTGTTTGGACGCATTTAACCGTTAATTAAAGATTTTTGTTTTTGCAAACCGCTGTGACTCATTCACACTGATAAACGAACAGAAAATGAGGCATCGATCCGGACCGACAGGTTTGAAGGGTTTTTATTTACATACATAATATTTTAAAGTAGACATTTAAAACTATGATTTATAAAGTTATTATACATTGATTAGTACTAATCTACTTATTGAACTGCATCTCAGATTCACAGGAAGTGGCGGTGAAGCCTCTGCTTGATGTGTGTGACGTGGTTTTATTCACTTAATGATTTATTAATCCCACACGCATGAACGTCCTGCAGAAACTTCTTCTTCTCTGGTGGTTTTAGCTTTAAATGCAGATTAGGCAGCGTTGTGACTTTTTCTATTTAGCCACAATTAGTTTATATATAATAAACTTTGTAGCCAAAATAAAACAATTTAATGAATGGAAGACATGGAGTCGCTGTGACCTACAAAATAAAGTGCCGACAAACACTAAGGGAACCCTGCTGGTTCATTCTTCTCTCTTTGTCAAACTCACTTTCTTCAGTGTTCTGCACGTGGTGTTAGAACCACTAAATGGAACCATTTCTCAGGTGAGGAAAACGTTTGCTTTTAGCATTCAGTGTGCGTGTGTGTGTGCGTGTGTGTGTGTGCGCGTGTGTGCGTGTGCGTGCGTGCGTGCGTGCGCGCGTGCATGTGCGTGTGTGTGCGTGTGTGCGCGTGTGCGCGTGCGCGTGTGTGCGTGTGCGTGTGCGTGTGTGTGTGTGTGAAGGTAGACAGTGGCCCAACAGACATCTTGATTGGGTTTACTGCCCAGCTGTTTCCCTTTGTCTCCAGTCTGTATGCTAAGCTAAGCTAACATTTAGTGCGGTCAAACTTCTACTCCAACTGGGTGTGTTTCCCCAAAGCGTCTGTTTGTCCCTTTTTGAGGTTCAAGAGGACGTTTTGGAACGAGCGGATGTCCGTACGTGTCCTCCAGCAATAACGTGTGTGTATGTGTGCCGCTCCGTTGGCTGGATTTATGGCCTCATCACACACACACACACACACACACACACACACACACACACACACGCACACACACAGGTGTGTTGTACGCCTGCGTCAGGTGTGTGAACGTCTTTCCCCTTTTTCCTGCTCAGAGCTCAAAGTTCAGACGGACGAAGGCGATTCCCGAACGCCACCAGCAACAAGAGGAAGAGTCCGTTCCTAAAAGGTCAGCTCACCACTTCAGAACCAACGAAGAAGACAGGTTGGGAGGACGTGTGCGGCCACGCGTCCGTCTCCAACGACAGATGGGTTGTACCTGAGGAGGACGAGTTCAAACCGACGGATCGACCGTCGGCCATCTTGGAGACACGGACCGGTGTGTGTGTGTCACGGACATTTTGGCTTTCCACCTCCACGGCGTTTTCTCAGGTGTTCGGTGAGGATTCTGGACGCTGAAGCTCCTGTAATAAGTTGTGCGCTCTGAGTGTCAAATCGGTCGCCTAAACAAACCTGCAGCTTATTAATATATTATTGTTATTGTTGGAAACAAGGCGGTTTCACTTCCGCTGCTGATTCCTGTTCGTCAAAGCGACAGATTTGAATGTTTCCCGTCACGGAAAAATGTGTCACAACTGTTTCTTTTTCTACAATAAGACCTTCTAACCACGTCAGCGTGTTCTCCATTTATTCCTGCTTGAAGCGTGTGTTTCTTCACACCTTGAAGCTACTCAGTGTGAAGTTTCAAAGCTTAAATATTCAGTAATTTGACATTTATCTGTGTGTAAATGGTCGTGTGTCCTCAGCTCCTTCCTGCCCGGCTGCAGGGCCTCCTGCTGGGCGGCATGGAGCACGCGGCGGGCCGGCTGCCCCTCGGGGTGCTGGGAGAGAACGAGGCGCTGCAGCAGTTCTTCAGCGGTGAGCAGCCTCCGGACTGTGCAGTTGAGATGATCCACCACCATGAATGTCCAGTTTCCAGGAGACCTTTAGATGATAAACAAGGTCCTCAGGGCCTCGAATTCAATCGTTGGTTCCTGAAGAGGATCGACGAGTCCATAGAGAGATTGATGTGGTTCCTACGGACCTTGAGAATACTCATGTTGTCCTTCAGGTCCAGGTAGTTCTTGTGGACCTAAGTGGGCTCAGTGATTCTAGAGGAGGTTCTACTAGTCCTGAAGATGGGCCGATGTGTTCCTGAGTGCATTAAATCCGCCTGCAAGTGAATCGGGTTGTAGAGAATGATTTATTGGTCCTTGGAGAGGAAGAAGTAGTCCATGTAAACCTGAGGTGGCTCTTTAGGGAAGAAGATGTAAAGCTCTTCATGGGTTATTGAGACGACTTCATCGTGGGAACGTTTAACGGAGTCAAGATCTCGTGTTGAAAAGATTCTAAAGGAAGTTCAAAAGGGGCTCGAGGTGGATGGAGACGTCCTAAACGAAGAGGTTCCACAGGTTTTACTGATCCTGAAGACGTTGTCCATGAAGAGATTCCATCCATCATGGAGGAAGAAATAAGTATCTTTGAGGGGAATAAGTGCAGAATAAGTTTTCATGTAGTTTGTCTTTGAGGAAGTTTGAGGAGAACAAATTACAAATGTAAATCTTTTAGACACATTTACACACTGTGCTGAGTGTGCTGAGATTTATCTAAAGCATTTGCAATGTATCCGTGTGTGTGTGTGTGTGTGTGTGTGTGTGTGTGTGTGTGTGTGTGTGTGTGTGTGTGTGTGTGTGTGTGTGTGTGTGTGTGCAGCTCAGGATGTGAGCGGCGTGTTGGACAGCTCGGTTGCCGTGGATACGAGCATCCTGGAGCGGTACCTCAGTAACGACATGGATCCCAACAGCTTGTAAGATTCTCAATCACATTTAAACTCTCTTGCCTGTTGAGTTCACGGCCTTCTACATATTTGCTCCCAGAAAGTCCAATAAACATATTGTTATTTACGATGATGCACTCGTGTGTTGCTGGAAACTTCACGCTGCCGACGCGTCGGCTGTGTTGTTTGTATGGCTTGTTTTCCCAGCATGCTCCCTGAGTCTCCTCCTGACTCGAGCTCGGAGGCCTGTTCACCTGCACAGATCCCAGGTACAGCGTCATGTTTTCACTCTAAGACCAGTTTGAGTTTAAGAAGATCGTCCTTTTATACATTCTAAGTCTCCACGACATTGTTTATAAACGGCAGCTCAAATTTTCAAATCAAAGTTGAACCCTGAACGAAAAGTAAAGGAAAATGTACTTTTTAAATAGCTTAATTCAGCTGAAACAACTAGGGCCGACTCATTTACTCAGTGTTTACATCTCTGGTGTGTTTTCTTTAAAACTGTAAAATCTACTTCTCTGATTGGCAGACTTCCACAACGAGGCGTCTAATTGGTCGAACCAGCAGCGCGTCCAGCCACCACAGCGTCCCGCCCCCTTGACGTCCTGTTGCTTTAAGGGCCGAGGCCCCGCCCCCCACGATTTGCTGACCCCCGATCAGCTCCTTCCGCCCCAGCCCCCACGCCGCTCACCTGAGCACCTGCACTACCTGAGTCCAGAGGGCCGCCCACAGGTTTACGCCCCTCCCTCCACGCCGGTGCCCCCCTCCATCAGCTACGTCACGCCCTACGAGGTCCCCGCCGTGTCCAGACCCCCTTCAACCTACCTGCTGGACTCATCACTGCACACCTGGTAAGCAAACCTCCGGTGACGTCCGCTTCGTGGGTGGAGGTCTCTAGTGATCTGCTATCTGGAGATCAACCTAGATTCAGATGGCCGAAGCATCCTCCTTATGGTGGTTCCTGATAATGACAATCAATAGTCATTATTGGGACTGTCAATAGGTAGAAATTAACTAATTAATGGCATTTTTTGAAGTTCATTCATCTCGATTATTGGCAATTAATGAATGTTGTTGTTTTTGTTGTTGAATGATGAATGTTTGTTTTTATTCTTCTGTTGTTCTTCTTCTTCTAAATCAAACATGTAATAAGTATCACTGAACAACACTTGTTTAATTGTTCTTGGAGGCAGAATTCCACCGGGTGGAACATGTTGAACGAGCAACTCTTCCAGCTAGCTTAGCCTGGCAGCTAGCTTAGCATAGCGGTGCTCCCGTCTTGCTTTCTCCGATGTAACTGACTGCAGCTGGCGGCCGTTTTGTTTCCGTGGTCATCTTCCGGTTTACTTCGGGTCTAATACCGGGGGAACGTTAACTTTATTGGATTAATCTTGATTAGATTAACGCTTATATGTTGACAGCTCTATTAAGTTATACATCAGATAACGAGGTATGATCATAGTTCTGTCCTGATAAACAATATGGTGACTCCGTCTTGTCGGTTGTTTGTTGTCTCTTGCTTCTTCAGCTCCCCAGAGAGCAAAAAAAGGAGAAGATCTGAGTCCGAGGAACCATCTGGGGGAATCGAGGCCTCCTGCAGTGAAGGTGATGGGACCCGAGGTGGCAGTGTAGGGAACAGCCTCAGCGGTTTGGGATCCTACCAACTTCTCACATGGGAACACTACAGGCCGGAATGTTGGACAACTTCATACAATAGCAGCTACGAGACGATGTGAGCGTAGGACCAGCTTCAATTTAACACCCTGCACGAAGGAGCCATTCCAACGCCTTCTGCTGTTTCCAGGTCTCCTCCCGCCTACCACATCGACACCGATAAAGGCTTCAACTACTCCGCACTGGACGAGGCCTTCGTTTGCCAGAAGAAGAACCACTTCCAGGTCACCGTTCACATCGGCGTGACCGCAGAGCCGAAATACGTCCGAACGGCCGGCGGGCCGCAGCAGATCGACCACTTCCTGATTAAAGTGTTCGGAGTCAAGGTAAAGACAAGAGGAAAAACCTCTGTGCCGCCTTCCTGCATGAACACTGACTTGTTGCATCTCACAAGCAGCATTCAGCATCTCGTTGAGCGCTCGGGTCGATTGGGAGCGTCATGTGCTTCATGTACGTCTTGTTCCTCGCAGCTGGAATCTCCGAGCCACCTGGTGACCATCGAGCAATCTCAGCCCGACCGCAGCAAGAAGCCCTTCCACGCCGCCAGGTGGGGAGGCGTGCCGGCATGCACCGGGTCCTGTGGCATCAGCCGTTCAAACATACCGTTCCGTGACCGTACCGTCCGCTAACGGCAAAGAAGACACAAAGTTTATTTAGGCTCTGACGTCCAAAGTGATGATCACCATCAGTAGAGATCTCATCTCTACTGATCAGGGTGCAGTTATTGATGCATATTTGGGTAGTTAGTCGTCATCCTTGGGGTCTGGTATCTATTAAAGTATTTTATTTATAAACCATCGGTCAACTGTGGCTATTGTGCATTCTCTCTTTGTTTTCAGTGTTCTACATGTTAAACATTTAGCAAAATCTGAAATTAAATATATAAACATATTCCACCAGGGTCAGTTTGCCCAGCGGCAAAACCACCAAGGTGACGCTCGGCCGACTGCACTTCAGCGAGACCACGTCCAACAACATGAGGAAGAAAGGCAAACCCAACCCCGACCAGCGGTGAGCGGGTGACCCCATGAGAGGGTGAACGGAGGAGAGAAGCGTGTTTCTGAGTGTGCGCGTTGTTCTGTAGATACTTCCAGATGGTGGTCGGTCTGTACGCCGCGGTGGGAGGAGCCGAGACGTTCCTCCTCACAGCTGTGGTGTCGGAGAGAATCGTCGTCAGGGTAAAGACACCGAACGTCAAAACACAACCCCCCCTACAACCCCCCGTCCCCCCACCCTGTCCGATTGACGGAGCTGTGGCCCGTCTCCGCCCGCAGGCCTCTAACCCGGGTCAGTTTGAGATGGACGGGGACGGCCCGTGGCAGCGCGGCGCGGCGCAGGACGCCGTGGTGTGCCAGGGCCGCGTGGGCATCAACACCGACTCCCCCGACGAGGCGCTGGTTGTCTGCGGCAACGCCACGGTGATGGGCGCCATCATGCAGCCGTCCGACCGCCGCGCCAAAGAGAACATCCAGGAGGTGAGAGGGCGCCGCGCCGCTCGGCCGGACGTCTTTTCCCACGTGTCGGTTTCATGGCGAATGTGTTTCCTCAGGTGGACTCTGAGGAGCAGCTGAGGAGAATCACACAGATGAGAATAGTTGAGTTTGATTACAAACCGGAGTTTGCGTCCAGCATGGGGATCGACCACACCCACCAGACAGGTGACGACACAGACAACGGCGCTGCCACTGTGACGCGCTCACGGTCTCAGGCGAGTGTGACGCCTCCTCGTTACGTTTCAGGTATCATCGCTCAGGAGGTGAAGGAGCTGCTTCCATCGGCGGTGACGGAGGTCGGAGACGTTTCCTGCTCTGACGGAGAGAAGATTCATAACTTCCTCATGGTGGACAAAGTAAGTTCCTCCTCATCTTCCTCTTCCTCTACGGAATCTCACTTAACAAAGAATGTATGTTGAACTGTGTTTCCACTGACCCTCCTCCTCCTCCGTCTCCTCCTCCTCCTCTAGGAGCAGATCTTCATGGAGAACGTGGGCGCGGTGCAGCAGCTGTCGAAGCTCACCGACAACCTGGAGACTCGGATCCAAGAGCTGGAGGTCTGGAACCGCCGACTGGCGAAGCTGAAGAGCCTGACAGGCAGCCTGCGCTCCACCGGGTAGCTCCATCCATCCATTTATTCATCCATCCATCCATTTATTCATTTATTCATCCATCCATTCATTTATTCATCCATCCATCCATCATTCATTCATTCATTCATCCCTCCTTCCATCCCTCTATTAGTTTAAAGTTCAGTTTACAATTAGTTTTTTGCTCTTAAAGTAAGAATTATTTATACATTATCTGGATTTTAAAAAACTGAATTTGAATAAAGTGTAAATTAATATGATTTGGCATTAAAGTTCTCGTATACAAAATAAATCGATCAAACGCGAAGCGCAAAAATAATTACTTTGAAATGGTGCGTTTCTTTTGCAACTGCATGTAATCTGTGTCTGAGGTCAATTCAGGTTATTATGTCCAACCCCACAAGGGCCTATCAGCCTGTGTGTGTCTGTGCGTGTGTGTGTGTGTGTCTGTGTGTGTGTGTTACATCACAGCGGCATCCCGTGTTATCTGTGCATCACAGTTCAAGGTCATGCGAGTCTCTGCATGACCCTCAGATCGTTTACGTGAGTGAATAAATGAACCGCCGGCTTTGAAGAGATTCAAGAATAAACGGCGGATAAAAGAGGAAGTTGTGATGAAGCGTCAGAATGTTTCCATTTCCCACAATGCCTTTCAACAAGAAAGGCATTGTGGGAAATGACTGAGTCATAGTTGCCCAAAACAGGTGGAAGGACAGAAGGTCAACAGCTGAACTCTGGTCAAGGTCACACAGAGAGTAATGGGTTGATAAGGAACGGCTCTCATTGGTTGAACATGTGTGTTCCTACAAGCGCAAAAGAACGTTAATACAAAATGTTTTTGCTCAATATATTTATTACATCGTAGCAGCGTGTGGTAAAAAGAATTGCTCAATGTCCCATTTGTTCCATGATATACAGAAAGCTACTCAACGTTCATTTAAATCCTCATATTCTGCGGTTTTGTCTTCGGTGATGAGAAGGAAATCCACCGTGTTCTACCAGCTGGAATCGTTGTGTTTTGACAGGAAGAGCAGGAAACACAGCAGCACGTCGACGCCGCCGAGTCCCGAGGCCTGCAGGGCCGCCAGCGCCCCGGAGTCCAGAGGCTGGAGTCAGAGGTGCCGCCGCTGCCTGCAGCACAGAGTCCTTCAGGTCACCATCTTCACGCTGCTGGCCACCATGGCCCTCTGGTGAGGCCTGCTGTCTCTTCCTGCTTGCACTTCCCGCACGCAACATGTGCCGCTGAGTCAACGCGATGCTGCGTGTGCTTGTGTGCAGCGCCATCTCCATCACGGCTCTGTATCTACTGGCTGATAAGGAGGAGGACGTTGACAAGAACAGGTAAGAGAACAACGCAAACATTGAATGACCTTCACAGCTCACAGCGACCAAAGAGGAACCACCATCACCGGACCAGTAACCCCCCCTTAAACCCCGGTACCCTTCAAACACGTCGCCATGGAAACGCCCGGCGACACACCATCCAAGCATCGTAACAGTCACCTGGCAGCAACGGTCTAACCCTAACCCTACCCTGCATCTCTAACGGTCTGACCCTAACCCTAACCCTACCCTGCATCTCTTAACGGTCTGACCCTACCCTGCATCTCTAACGGTCTAACCCTAACCCTACCCTGCATCTCTTAACGGTCTGACCCTACCCTGCATCTCTAACGGTCTAACCCTAACCCTACCCTGCATCTCTTAACGGTCTGACCCTACCCTGCATCTCTAACGGTCTAACCCTAACCCTACCCTGCATCTCTTAACGGTCTGACCCTACCCTGCATCTCTAACGGTCTGACCCTACCCTGCATCTCTAACGGTCTGACCCTACCCTGCATCTCTAACGGTCTGACCCTACCCTGCATCTCTAACGGTCTAACCCTAACCCTAACCCTACCCTGCATCTCTAACGGTCTAACCCTAACCCTGGGTTACCCTGGGTAACGGTCACCTCTTCACCACCGACCGTTGCTTTACATCCCCCATTACCGTTTGTATTGGTTTATTTCTCGTTGCTGACGTACGTTGACTACCTTTCACTTTATTATTTTAATGAATTAGTTGCTGACTCCAAGTCCACCTGTGGTATTTATGCCATAATGATCCATGACAATGACCCCGTTGTGTGTCCTGTGTGACAGCAGCGTGTCTCCTGCGCACACCACAGCCTGGAGCAGCACAGGTAACCTGCACCCCCACACAGGGCACCTGGTCCAGCCTGGTGTTCACCGACGTCTGCTGACCACTTCTCTTTACCAGTCCCGACCCCCGGCCCCCCCGGCCCCTGGCCCCCGGACGTGGACTTCTGCGACCTGCTGTACTGCGAGCGGGCGTACTGCTGTGGAACGCCTGCAGGGGGCGGCGCCGACTCCAACGTCACCGCCGGCGAGGCAGCAGGAGGAGAAGCGTCCGAGCCGACGGGTAACGTCGGATGTCTGTGTGCATGACGTAGATGCTGGTCTGATGGACACTGGACGTCATCACCGACGTACGTGGTGCTGATTCTCATTTGTGTTTCTACAGAAAGAGGGAAAGAAAAAGTGTACGGCGACCTAAAAAATGACCGAGACTGTGAGTTTTCTCTTTCTAGTTACTGGACTTTAAGCAAGAATTAACTCTCTGAAGCAATTTAATGAAACTTGTCCACTTCATCAGGGACGAACACCTCCATCCATTCCTTCCTGATCAAAGAGAACCAGCGCGTGATTGACAGTAAATACTGCCTGACAGGCCAATGCGGGTGAGTGAGGACAGCAGAGCACTTTGGATGAGGAACCTGAAGGGAACATTTCTCTAATTTGGTTCCAATTATACAGAAAATAAACATGTGTTTTAATTGGTACTTTCCTGTCAAACGATTCACTCATGTACGTAGATGGACGCGTTATTTGAATTCGTAGCGTTTCCATTGATTTGTTCCGTGGTTCCTTCAGGCCGAGTAGATACACCTACAGAGTTCCCATCAGCCAGTTTGTCCCGGTCAACATGAGGGTCACTTTGCTCATGAAGTAAGTACTGACAGACCAGATCTGCTCCAAACGCCGCCGCGAAAACCACAATCCAGACGTGTGTCGCTCGATTAAACCAATGAACACAACCTCCATGATCTGGAAAACACAATTACCAAGTAAATGGCTTTTAATGAATAAACATAGAAAATGCTGTATTCATTATTTGTATGATGAGAATAATAAAAAAGAGGAAACACAAAGTGAATTAAAATAAGGAACGATTGAGGTGTTTAGTGTCAACGAATGGATTTAAATTCAACATCTTCAATGTTTATAGTGTTCGTGTTAATAGTAATAGCTCATATCCCTCAAACAACTTTTAGAACTGATAGCAGTAAATTAGAGTTAACGTTCTACTGTTAGCATTAGCATTAGCATGTTGGCTAGCTCACCGTTTGGGTAAATTGAGATGGTTCGTCTCCGTAGTTGTTCTAGGAGACGTGTATGTGACAGTAGATGAATTTGATCGATTGTTCCTGCGTAGCTCCACGGAGCTGCTGGTGGTTCATCTGTGCGGCCTCGACGAGTCGGTCACCTGCTCCGCTCTGCTGGACATGAACGCCGTCACCGAGAGCAGATACCCGTCAAACACACAGGTAGACGTCCTGGAGGAACCTCCCCTGAGCACCAACAGCTTCATTCAGACATTTCAATTTGAGCATTTCACACCTTTTTGTGTGTTTAACTACTTCGCATGAGGTTATTCCAGATATGTGGACGTGAATATCATTGTTCATTAAAAGAGGCCATTTTATTCCTCATGCATTCTCACAGACGTATTTAAGTACATCCATTTATTGCTTCATGGACAAACGTATAGAGACTAATGGAGCCTGTGATGTAAAAGTATGCATGAACCCCCCCGGATGAGCCTGTGTGGGTCCATGTGATGCCTTGAGGGTCACGGAGGTTCCAGTCCACCCGCTCAGTAAATAATGCAGCGTGCGTGTGGCAAACCCTGATGAATAATGGGTGTGAGGCGGCGGCGTGCTAATCACGGCTACGCTGACATGAATCCGCGGTGCGGTAACACGCAGCCACACGCGTGTGACGAGCATGTTGGACCTTCTCCAAGCAAAGCGTGTTCATGGCCTTGATCCACAGTCGGTTGGTCCTGAGGTGGCGTTCAGGATCCCGGATGAGCGCGTCTTTGTGTGTTGTGCAGGGAGAACACCAGTGGCCTCTTCACGTGGCTCGTCTTCATCACAGCTCCTATCACTTCCGTTCCACGGCGGCGGTAAGAAACTCCTCCTCTCGTGTCTCGTCCTTGGCTTCCATACAAGATGTTTCCTGTTTACATTAATATTTCATCGACAGCAGATCTACGAATTACAGTTGGACCCTTTAGGATGAAAAGACCTTAAAAATAATCACCACGTTCTCAGCATCCAGACGTTGAAGAGACGATGCCACGAAGTTGGATTAAAACTTACTTTTCTCACAAAATGTAAATTTTGTTTAATCAGGAGCCACAAAAACACCCAAAGATGGAAAAGTCAAAGCGAAACGCTGCTCCTGTCGTTTAAATTGGACTTTTTCAGGAATGATGTACTCGTGTTTTTAAAGAAGTCAGAACGTACTGAGAGACAAACATTTAGTTTGGTACAAATGCTGCATATTTACTTAAACTGAGACAACACTTTTCCTACTTTTATCGAGACAATATATATAAATATATATTGTATCTATCTAACAATACGTTTCTCCTCTCAGGGCCAAGCTGACTGCAGTACCGACCACCACTACGCGGGGGCGCTCTTCACTGACTACTACTTCCACTTCTACAGACGCTGCACAGACTCTCAGACGCACATCTAGAGACAAACAACTGAGTGTGAATGTTAATATATGATGGATTACATTTTATTTTATAGGTTTCACTCCGTAAAGTCATCAATCATTTTCTATTTAAATGGTGATTCCAACATGAATTGAGCTTTATTTTTTGGCTTCTCTCTAACCTTTATTTTCTGTGAGATACTGTGCTGTTTATTACCTTTTTAAAAGAGAAAAAAGAAAATATGAGTTTAGTTTAGAGCTGATTTATGCAAACTGTGATGAGGCACATAGGATTCTTTTATAATATCCCAAATAAAACATTAGTCCACTTTGATACTGGATACTCTTCTAGATTTAAGCATTAAGGAAAACAGTTTGCTGTTTGAATAGCACCAATTACAAGAAGTTAGTTACTTATTAAAAGTAAGAATGTCGTTGTTAAAGTGTGAAACTGTTAATTAATTAAAGAATTCATCTTTTCTATGAGCTGGGCTGAACATGACTAAATCCACATTATGAGAAATAAAACTATTAAATAGTCTCTCAAATTAAAAAAAAACTAAAAATCGACAGTGTGTCTGGAAGGTAAAACATTTCATCAGTTAAGAAACTTTCATGAATCACTTCAAACTCTGTGATGGTCCCCACAACGCTGCTGTGTGATGTCACCGGTCCCCACAGTGTGCACCAGATGGGTATGTGGGTTCAATCTCCATGTATGGACAAACTGTAAACACACGTACACGTATAAGCTACCTAAAGAGGACCACACACATAGAGGATCAGGACTACACTGAGACTGGTTCACATAGAGGATCAGGACTACAGTGAGACTGGTTCACATAGAGGATCGGGACTACAGTGAGACTGGTTCACATAGAGGATCAGGACTACAGTGAGACTGGTTCACATAGAGGATCAGGACTACAGTGAGACTGGTTCACATAGAGGATCAGGACTACAGTGAGACTGGTTCACATAGAGGATCAGGACTACAGTGAGACTGGTTCACATAGAGGATCAGGACTACAGTGAGACTGGTTCACATAGAGGATCAGGACTACAGTGAGACTGGTTCACATAGAGGATCAGGACTAGAGTGAGCTGTAGACACACACACTGATGACTAATTCAGGTGGAGGAGGTGCAGCAGCAGCAGAGACGGCGGTGGAGGTGGAGGATGGAGGTCCGGCACACTGTGAGTATCCATCACTCTGGAAACCAAAATATACAAATGATTTGTTTCTCTGCAGAAGAAAACCAGACCTGCAGCTTTCGCCCCGATGGTGCTGCAGAAAAGTCTGAAGCGAGATGCTTTCAATCACCAGCGTTTGATGATAAAGAACCGTTTGTGTTATGTTCATGTCCACTTTCTGGAGAACATAGAAGCTTCTTGTTGTCTTGCACTCGCAGAGCTTTTATGTTTCGGGTTTCAGCGGTTTGGATGTTTAACGCTAAAAACAGTTTTGGGGGCTTTGATGCAAACAGATGGCGAGATGTTTTCCCAGAGGGAGGACAGTAAATGTCTCCCACCGTGTCCTGCCACACACATGGGGACTGCTTTAAGGTCCCATGTGGGTCCACTGAGGACGGACCTTCTGTCTCTGTGTCCACGTCGCTCTGAGGAAAACAGTGTAATGTTACTTTATACAGGTAACTAATCTCTACCCTGCAGTGTGTGTGTGTGTGTGCGTGTGTGTGTGTGTGTGTGTGTGTGTGTGTGTGTGTGTGCGTGGGTGTGTGCCCCTGTAGTGGTGTCGTCTATCAGCTCAGAGTCTGACGGACAGATGTCTCTCGTCAGGGTGGAAACTGTGTCTTCCAGGCTCCCGTCCTCTGTAATTAAGTGATACTCTACCCTCTGCGTGTGCGTGTGTTGCAGTGCTTGATGGGGAGCTCGTCACCTCTCTCACATTCAGGGAGGAGTCGGGCAGCAGAGAGCAAAGGTAAACTACCGAGAGACGATACCTGCGTGTGAAAAGGGACACCTGTACTAACCGGGTTAGAGTTTCCCTCCTGTACTTCTGTGTGTGTGTGTGTGTGTGTGTGTGTGCGTGCGTGTGCGTGTGCGTGCGTGTGTGTTCTTATGGTAAAACATAATGTTTTCTAAAGCTGATGATGAGTTTCCTCGTGAGACAGGGACACGTCTGTCCTTGTCTCATTGGCTGATCCAGGAACCTCCTACATGCACTGTGACTCCTGCAGCCCGCGGGTTCTTCTCTGCTGCGGTGCCGTTTCCTGTGTGCGTGCACAGACGTTTGTGTTGCTATGAGAAGAAGCTCACACTGATTTACATGCGTAGCTGGAAATAAACGGAAAACACAACTTCTACTTCTGAGCCTCTTGATTCCAGATTTGCTTTGAGGAACACATGAGCTCCTCTCTCTGTCTCAGCACCCGTCTCCTGCCTCCGGCCTTCCAGCAGCAGACGGGCGGAGCAGGTGAAGCGGGCGTGGACGAGGAAGCACAGGAAGCGAGGCGTCTGTCCGACCGGCCGTCGCTGTGCGAGCAGCAGAAGAAGCTGGAGGACAAGCGGAGTCTTCTCCAGGAGGTAAAACGTGAGGAACGAGGAGCCAGGGCTAAGGCGGGGCTACGGGCTGATTGACAGGTCTCGCTGATCGCCCAGAGACGTGCACGGCGTCTATATGTCCCCTTCGGTCCAGATGTACAAAATCCACTTCTTATATTTTTACATGACATTCTTATATTTAGTTGGAATTCTTATGTGTGTGTGTGTGTGTGTGTGTGTGTGCGTGCGTGTGTGTGTGTGTGTGTGTGCGTCTCAGTTGGGGCGCATCGAGGCCGATCTTCGGGAGTCGGTGCGTCCGGACATCGAGCGGCAGCGTGAAGCCGAGTTCCTCCGTCGCCATGAGAGCAACCTGCTGAGGACTCACCTGTGTTACCTGAGCCTCGGGCAGCGCGTTGCCAAGTAACCCGCCGCCTGCTCGTATCCCTCCGCCCGAGCACTTCGCTCTCCAGTCAAGGTTCCTTCAGGTGTCTCCTGTTGTCTCCTCTGCAGACCCTGGGTCACCAGCTACTTCAGGAAGTTCCCCATGCACATCTACTGCCTCCCAGTCCAGGCGGCCAATCAGAGGAGCCGGAAGCGGGTCCTAACGAAGAGGAGATGATGCGTTGAGATTATTTCTGTTTTTAATGTTTTTTCAATCAAAAAATAAATCCAACATCCTCCCAATAACTTGTCCTATAGTCCTGTGTTAGAGGGCGCCCTCTATATGTTTCTCTGTGAACTGCACCGTTAAATTAAAGTGGACCTTTGATCTGGTGTTTTATGCACAAGTAGCGGAAGAAGTATTAAGATCCGTTACTGCAATAAACGTACTATTGACACCACGAAAACACTAAACATCAGGTGGAATTTCTGTATCCTAAATTTTACAGGAGAAAAGTGGGCGATAAAATGTGTTTTTTATTGCATGATTTTAATTAATAAGACAAAATCCAGCTAAATATAACTTATTTACTTTTCCACAAATTACAAAAAAACAAAATATACTAATATAAGTGAGATATGGAAATCCTTTCAGAAAACATTTCCAAAAAATATCAAATAAATATCCCCAAAGTCTGTTTGGTTGAAGTTCATGTTGTAAGCTATTATTAGTGTTCCATAAATGCACCATAAATACTCGTCTACAATGCAAATACCCCAAAAATAATATTTTCCAACACTTGTGGCAGCACTTTGTTTCCCGTGATGCGCCTTGAACGCGGCACCACGTTTCTACGTCACTGCGTCCCTCCCCACCCCAGCCCTTCTTCTCTGTCTGCGTGCACGGCTTCATCCTCGAATCACAGACATCATGGTGAGCTTTTGCATTTATCTACTATCTTTTAACCCGAGGGGAATAGTTCAGAACGTAGTGTGGCAGCTCAAATACGAGTCAAACTCCCGGAGAGTCGGTCGATCATGTTGCAGACCGAAAGTGTTGTATTTCGGAGTCAGTTCAGCTCTCCGTTAGCTTTCCGTTAGCCAACCGGCGAGAGAGCACATGGACGCGATGACTGCGGCTAACGGTCGAGCTAACCGCGTCAAAGTGTAATTCTGGGTGCGGTCTGGAGGAGCCGCGGTAAACAAAACCTTCGTGGCGATGTTTCGGGGTGTGATTCTCAAAGACTGCGTGTTGAGGTTCCTCTCAGATTAGCTTGTTAGCATGCTAGGTTAGCATGCTAGGTTAGTTTGTCATGCTGGGCTTTGTGGCTGTCAGGAGGAACAAACCGAAGTTCTCGATTAAACTGTTAGGAAATAATTAAAGTAACACGTGAGTTGAACTGTTAAGAGTTCCGACTCCACAGCTGAAACCTCTCGGTAATTTCTGTTTTTATTTTATTTAATCATGTGGCTTGAAGCTTCTAGCGGCTTCTACGATGAGAGGGGCAGAGCTGCTGCTGCGTTCAGGGGAGCTCGGAATAAATCCTCCATCTACGCATTGTGTTTAGACCGTTTTATCTATGGTTTTGCCGCATTCACGTTACGTAGTGAAATATCAATTTAGGCTGCATCTTCCTATGTTTTGGAAATTCTCCAACACACATTTCAGCTGACGAAGCAGAGGTGTTATTGATTATAGGATTTAATTGCAATAATGAAGGTTAATTGTTAAAGTTTGATCTTACACGTGTCGACCAAAAGAACAATTCCAATATAATGCAGTTGGTCCATTTTAATGCAGATGTCATTTGACTTGAGGTTCCTGTAAGTGCTTCGTGAGGATATTGATGATTGATTGGTGTCTCCCTGCAGGCGTCCTTATCAATGGCACCGATGAACATCTTCAGACAAGGAGCCGATGAGGAAAAAGCAGAAACTGCACGAATGGTGGGTTTTTGTATTTATTTTGGTGCTGTCGGTGAAGCTTCTTGTCTGATTAATAATTCCACCAGTTGAGGGGGAAGATGAACCTCGTTACTTTTGTTTGTTCTCTCTAGTCGTCCTTCATTGGCGCCATCGCCATCGGGGATCTGGTGAAGAGCACCCTGGGGCCCAAGGGAATGGTACGTGCCGTCATTGGATTACAATGATTGCCATCTTAAGCTACTGTTATTTAACTGGAAACGTTTCCAAAATATAAGGGTTATTATTTTGATAATCGATTAATCGGTCGTTTTATTTCTTTGATCGATGAATTTGATACGAAAAAAACAACATTTAAATAGCTTGAATTCTAAAACATTATTAGTCTAAAACACAACTGTGTGCAAATTCACATCGCAAAAATCCTTCAGAAAGTACAGGTTGCTCCTTGAATATAATAACTATATAAAAAAACAGATCAGAATATTTAACAGAATTTGTTTTAACAGAACTTGTCTATAATACACTCTCAGACGCACACACACACACACACACACCCATGTTCACTTGAAGCTTATTCAGTAAATTATTACCGTCATTGTAGTGCAAGTTAAGTAAATGTATCGAAGTACAGCTAAAAAATAGCTTAAAAAAGTGCTATGAGATGAATTAAACTGGCATTTGTAACTAAATGCATTAGAAGCTTAGTTAGCCGCGCTGGTTTAATGGATCACCGTGAATCGGTAATAAAATTCGTTGCCAATGTTTTAAATAATCGATTTTTATCGATTTCATGGATTCGTTGTTGCGGCGCTGGTCTCTGATCATGTGACATTGTAAACAACTAATCAGTATTCAGAGCTACATGAGGAGCTTGTAGCGTTAGCAGCTAACGGCTAACTGAAGTATGACGCATTCAATGTCATTGTGATGCGTTTGAGTGTAATCTGTAAAAGGTGTTTTTGGTGATCATGAATCCTGATGTTACGATATCTGTCCTTCAGGATAAGATCTTACTCGGAGGAGGGAAAGGCGCCTCGGTGACGGTGACCAACGACGGGGCGACCATCCTGAAAGCCATCGGGGTCGACAACCCCGCCGCCAAAGTCCTGGTTGGTGGGTGGAGCCTCGTCTTACCGATGCAAGATGAATAGCAGCTTCCCAAAGAATGCACATGGACGTGACTGCAAAGCGTTTTAATGCAGTTTGTGTTTCCAGACATGTCGAAGGTTCAGGACGATGAGGTCGGCGACGGGACGACATCGGTCACCGTGCTCGCCGCCGAGCTGCTGAGGGTAAAACGACCTCCTGTGTGATTTGATAACCAACGTGATGGTTTATTTAAGGTCATGTGACCCGTCGTCTTTGACCAGGAAGCCGAGCTGCTCATCGCCAAGAAGATTCACCCTCAGACCATCATCGCCGGCTGGCGGAAGGCCACGCAGACGGCCAGAGACGCTCTGAGGGAGGCGGCCGTGGACCACAGGTGAGACCTGGATCTGCGCCCCTACACGCTCAAACGTGTGTTTATTTAGAGGCACATGCACACGCGTGTGTGTAGTTTTGTTTTTAAAACCCTTTTCAGGTAAATCTTTCTAATAAAAGAGTAATTTTTTTTCTTTTTAACCTTTTGTATATAAAATATTTCTTTTTACAAAGAAGAAAATAATGTATTAATCGTAGCTCGTTGTCGCCGTAGCAACGACCCGGCCCGCTTCCAGGAGGACCTGCTGAACATCGCCAGGACGACGCTGTCCTCCAAGCTGCTGACGCACCACAAGGACCACTTCTCCCAGCTGGCCGTGGACGCCGTCATGAGGCTCAAGGGCTCGGGCAACCTGGAGGCCATCCACATCATCAAGAAGCTGGGGGGCAGCCTCACCGACTCGTACCTGGACGAAGGTGAGCGCCCTGAGGTCACCGCAGGATCTCTGGCTTCTGATTGGCTGCTGGGAGGCTCACGTGTTCTGTTGCCTGCAGGGTTCCTGTTGGACAAGAAGATCGGAGTCAACCAGCCGAAGAGGCTGGAGAACGTGAAGATCCTCATCGCCAACACCGGCATGGACACCGACAAGATCAGGTGTGCACACAGAGACGCACACACACACACACACACACAGCTGAGACTCGTGTAGTAACGTCTCGTCTCTCAGATCTTTGGCTCCAGAGTTCGTGTCGATTCCACGGCGAAGGTTGCAGAGATTGAAATGGCGGAGAAGGAGAAGATGAAGGAGAAGGTCGACCGGATCCTGAAGCACGGCATCAACTGCTTCATCAACCGGTACACACACACACGGCTGCACATACACACACACACACACCACTACACAAACACACACACACACACAGTCTTCTCCTGGTTCTGGTCCAACGAGGTCCTCACAGGGTCGACGTAGAGCGATGAAGCTTTGAGACAAGTTTCCTTTTTAGAGAGTTGAATAAACTGAGGAAAGGAAACAAGGACACAAACAGAGGACACGCCTCCTCCTGAAGCTCCTCCTCCCTCTCCACAGGCAACTGATCTACAACTACCCGGAGCAGCTGTTCGCTCAGGCCGGCGTCATGGCCATCGAACACGCAGACTTCGCTGGCGTCGAGCGCCTTGCCCTGGTCACTGGTACGCTCACGCACGCACACACACACGCACGCACACACGCATGACGCATAATGACCTCGTGCTCCCTGTGATCAGGAGGAGAGATCAGCTCCACCTTCGACCACCCGGAGATGGTGAAGCTGGGCCACTGCAAGCTGATCGAGGAGGTGATGATCGGGGAGGACCTGCTCATCCACTTCTCCGGGGTCGCCATGGGTACGTGCACACGCACACGCATGCACCGGTGTTCATGGAGGTCTCTCCAGTCTCTGATCATGTGACTAAAGAACAGTTCCGTTACGATGCATTCAGGCTCCTCTCAGGGAACATGAGAACGTTATCGCGGTGCGTTCAGGTGTCATTTAGTTTTGGTGATAACGTTGAATACGTCCAGATGTTTTGTTGTTGTTGGAAATGTTTTTGGGGTCGATCTAAACACGGCGGCTCGTGTGGTCGAGCAGGCGAGGCGTGCACCATCGTCCTGCGCGGAGCCACTCAGCAGATCCTGGACGAGGCGGAGCGCTCGCTGCACGACGCGCTGTGCGTGCTCGCTCAGACGGTGAAGGAGCCGCGCACCGTGTATGGAGGAGGTATGCACGCACGCACAGGGCATGGGAGGGGGAGGGGGGTGAGGCGTGACCTCTGACCCTGCGTGTCTTCCTCTCCGTCAGGCTGCTCAGAGATGCTGATGGCCAAGGTGGTGAGCGACCTGGCCAACAGGACGCCGGGCAAGGAGGCGGTCGCCATGGAGTCGTTCGCTAAGGCGCTCATGATGGTACGACCGGGATTTCCGACGCTTTTCTTCGACTCAAAAGAAAAGAGCTCCTGAGTTTTGATGTCTCTTTTTTTTGTTTTGTTTTTGGCGTCCAGCTGCCGACGATCATCGCCGACAACGCCGGCTACGACAGCGCCGACCTGGTGGCTCAGCTGAGAGCCGCTCACCAGGAGAACAAGAGCAGCTGGGGCCTGAGTGAGTGCACCTGAACGCCTCGCCAGATGCTCTGCTTACATTGAAGCTCTGCAGCTGTTTTCATCACCAGATTATTTTACAAACGTAAACGTTTGTTTTTAACGTCTTGTGACACGTTGAGTGAAACATGCCCCCCCGCCCCTGACCCCCTGCAGACATGTCGGACGGCGCGGTGGGCAACATGGCGGAGCTGGGCATCACCGAGTCCTTCATGGTGAAGCGCCAGGTGCTGCTGAGCGCCTCCGAGGCCGCAGAGATGATCCTCCGAGTCGACAACATCATCAAATCTGCTCCCAGGTCAGTTTCCGCCTGCAGCGGTTACGTGCTGCTCGCCGCCTGTTGTAACGTCCGTTTGTCTGTCTGCAGGAAGAGGGTTCCCGACCACCACCCCTGCTAGAGGACGACGACCTTGTTGGAACTAAAGAAACGCTCTGCTGTTTGTTCTTTCTCTGTAACACTCTCAGAAACTCGTTGTTTGTTTTGTTTACTGAAAATAAAATAAAATCAGAATCCGCTTTATTGTTCACGTGTTCTTACGCTCACATGGTTTGTTCTCATTTATACAAGAAAATAAAAAGCAGACGAGAAGTAGATTTAATGATGGAACAATTCTGAACACAATAAAACTGCGTTCTAAGAAACACTGACGCTTATTGTGATCAGATTATTCTACCTTAGTCCTCCACATGAGTACTACAGCAAGTAAAGTACTAATAACACACAAGTACTTTGGTGCAGTAAAAAGTAGTTGAGCTGATGGTCTGCAGTGTTCACGTTATTTAGTCCACCCCTCAGTCATCAGGTCGACGCGACCGAGACCTCACAGTTCAAACAGAGCGAGTTACACAACGCACAGTACTTCTTATACTTATACAATGTCAAATATACTGTGGTATTTGATTCAGGTACAATACTGAGTCTTTAAATCCACATCGTACTGATTATTAACCAGAATATTATAAGTTATTTGTTAAATTTAAATTTAACCTTCATAGCGAGACTGAAGTCTCCACATGTCTGCTATTGATCACAGAATTATTGACCCATGTTTTAGATGACAAGTCACACACACACACACACACACACACCCCCCCCGATGGGGGGGTTGATAAGGTCGGCGCTCCGGTTGGCGGCTCACAGGCCGACATGTGGAAGCTGGTGCTGGTGCTGCTGTGGACGTGGACATGGACGAGCTCGGCGCTGCTCAGGTAGGAACAACACACCTTTGTGTGTGATTTCACATCATTTCCGACATTGAGAACTTTTTATTCCCACAATTTTCCACGTTCTCTTATTCTCATTTGAACTTGTTTTACTGCAGAACGTATGTGTTGTATATGAACGTATCCGTCATATTGACATCGTTCATTGAGGAGAAGGTTCCTCTGACGTTCTCACTGAGGTTTCTTCCCTTTTTTCCCCTTTTTCAGTTTGATTTTTTCAGTTTTTCCTGTGCAGATGTGAGGGTTTCGGGTCAGAGGATGTCTCGTGTACAGACTGTAAAGCCCTCTGAGGCACATTTTCAATTTTGGGCTCTACAAAATAAAATGGATTGAATTGAATACATGTTTTCTGCAGACCGTCTGAAGCTTTTGGGCATTTTTGCTTTACAAAAAGGACTCTGAAGTTTTGAGGATTATGTTTGATGAGAAGATCGATACCTCTCATGTCTGTATAGTGGACGCCAAACGTGCAACCAATTAGCTTAGCTTAGCATAAAGACTTGAAACATGGCCGCTAGCCTGACTGTCCACACTGTCAATAATAATAAGATAAATACAGATGAATCAAACCTGTGAATCAGTGAGTCAGTATTTTAATACGCTAACACGCTAATACTCTCCTCTAACTTTCAAAGACAATGAGTGCTTTTGCTCTTAGAAATGAGAACAATATCCAACAGTTCTCCTAAAGTTCAACCCGCCCTGCTGACCCCCTGCAGGGTCCCTCTGAAGCGGGTGCGTTCGGTTCGTTCCCAGCTGCGCGTCGAAGGCCTGCTGGAGGAGTTCCTGAAGGAGCACCGGCCCGACATGTTCAACCGGCGCTACGCCCAGTGCTTCCCGCCCGGCACGCCATCGCTGCGGCTCGGACGCTCCAGCGAGAAGATCTACAACTTCATGGACGTAAGGAACCGATCAAAAGAACTGCTTTAAAGCTGCATTCTGTGTAGTGACCAGCAGGGGGCGACTCCTCTGCTCCCATAGACGTCTATGAGGAAATGACTCTACTTCTCTGTAGTGACCAGCAGGGGGCGACTCCTCTGCTCCCATAGACGTCTATGAGGAAATGACTCTACTTCTCTGTAGTGACCAGCAGGGGGCGACTCCTCTGCTCCCATAGACGTCTATGAGGAAATGACTCTACTTCTCTGTAGTGACCAGCAGGGGGCGACTCCTCTGCTCCCATAGACGTCTATGAGGAAATGACTCTACTTCTCTGTAGTGACCAGCAGGGGGCGACTCCTCTGCTCCCATAGACGTCTATGAGGAAATGACTCTACTTCTCTGTAGTGACCAGCAGGGGGCGACTCCTCTGCTCCCATAGACGTCTATGAGGAAATGACTCTACTTTTCTGTAGTGACCAGCAGGGGGCGACTCCTCTGCTCCCATAGACGTCTATGAGGAAATGACTCTACTTCTCTGTAGTGACCAGCAGGGGGCGACTCCTCTGCTCCCATAGACGTCTATGAGGAAATGACTCTACTTCTCTGTAGTGACCAGCAGGGGGCGACTCCTCTGCCCCCATAGACGTCTATGAGGAAATTGTTTTATGATAGTATGAAAGTAGGATACAACTGTTGTTTGTTACATTCTGCTGCAGTCTCTCATTGTGTGTGTGTGTGTGCGTCTCAGGCTCAGTATTACGGTGAAATCACTCTGGGGACTCCAGGGCAGAACTTCTCTGTGGTTTTTGACACCGGCTCGTCTGACCTCTGGGTGCCGTCGACCTACTGCGTCAGCCAAGCCTGTGGTACTACACAACTACACACAACTCTACACAACTACACGCACCACGATTTAACCCCACAGAACTCCACTGTTTGAGTTTTGCTCGTGGGTCAGGTCATCATGACAGTGTGGTAAAGTACGTTCCTCGCTGCGATAAGAAGCTCAAGGTCAGTGTGTGTGTGTGTGTGTGTTTTCACAGCGTCGCACAGGCGTTTCAAGGCGTTCGAGTCCTCTTCGTTCTTTCACGACGGTCGGACGTTCGGCGTTCACTACGGATCAGGACACCTGCTGGGAGTCATGGCCAGAGAGACGCTGAAGGTCCAGTTTGTTAAAAACATTAAACCGGAATATTTAAATGTTAGAAGGACACGGTGATACATGAAGAACATCCAGAACAACCTTAGTGCCTAAAGATGTAACCGGCTTTCAGAGAAGGTGTGATTGGCTAACTTCAGAACATCATGTAGAACTCTACTGAAGAAGGTTCAGAACATAGATGCAAAAGAGAAATGACTTCTTTGGATCATGTCAGCAATACGAAGCATTTACTTTAGAACCATATCAAAATTAAGGTTCTACACAGACCGTTTACTTTTTAAATTTAAAAACAGATTTATGTACGGTATAACATATTTATACTAGAGTGAAACGTAAAATACAGATTCATAACACGCCATTTATAACAAGAGACGGTTTAAAGGGTTCTGACAATCTCCGACCTCCTGTTCCAGATCGGGAGCCTGACCACCATAAACCAGGAGTTCGGGGAGTCCGTTTACGAGCCCGGTTCCGCATTCGTCCGGGCGAAGTTCGATGGCGTCCTGGGGCTGGGTTACCCGGCCCTGGCCGAGATCCTCGGGAACCCCGTGTTCGACAACTTGTTGGCGCAGAAGGCGGTGGAAGAGCCAGTCTTCTCCTTCTTCCTCAGCAGGTACGTCCAGAACCAGTAACCCGGCTCACCGGTTTGTCTGTTGTGAGGCGTTCACTGGGAACCACTTCAACCAGTTTAGTGGTTTGATGGGACTGAGGAGGATGTTGGGTTGTTCCTACCTGGGCTTGTTTCGGGATATTAAACAAACAGCTTTCAAGTCACTCTTCCACAACACACAAGTCCAAAGAGTCAAGTTCAAGGATCCACAGTTTTGGAAAGGCTCTCTGGGTTCCAGTTTGTTCCGATGGGTCTCCGGTGATTCATGAGGTTCCCAATGTGTTTCATAGAGTGGAAGTTCTGCAGAGTTCAAGAAGCGTCCAGAGGTTCACAAGGATTTAAAGCATTCTTTAGAGTATCCCAGATGTTTCATTCCAGTGGTTCCAGAAGGAGTCCTTTCGTTCCCAGGATGGTCCAGGTTGGATCAGATTTGATTCAAGAGAGGAGTCAGAGATTTCTGTGGTCCTGACAAGGGTTCTAGAAGGATCACAAGAAAGCGGGCTTGTATATTTGTGGTTAATAACTTGCTGCCAAGGGATCGGAGGGCCCACAGGACTCATTGGATTGACAATAAAGTGTTTGGGGCCCAGAAAACAGAATAAATCTCCTTTTTGTTCCTACAGGAGAACAAGCAGCGGCAGCCCAGAGGGCGAACTGTTGCTAGGCGGAAAAGACGAGGCGTTGTACAGCGGACCAATCAACTGGCTTCCTGTGACTGCTAAGGGCTACTGGCAGATCAAGATGGAAAGGTTGTTTAATTTATTAGCTGGGATTAATTCATTGTAACTACATTATGTGAAGCTCTGCAGCTGGTTTTTATCAGAATCAGATCAGAACTGCATTAATGATGTTTTGATTTTGTGGCCACCTTCGGCTCTGGACCACAATTCATTTATTGTGCAGTAAATATAACGGCCATTAGATGGCGGTACAAACACTTTTTAAAAAGAGTAACATCAAAACGTCCACGTCTGGACATCCGTGGGCCTTTCAGTGTCTCGGTGCAGGGCGCCATTTCTCTCTGTCCTCGGGGCTGCCAGGCCATCGTCGATACCGGAACCTCCCTCATCGCCGGGCCGACCGCTGACATCATCAGCCTCCACCAGCTGATTGGAGCCACGCCCACAAACATAGGAGAGGTTGGACCTCGCTAAACATTCAGGAAAATCGCTAAATCTTAGACAGAAAGATGGTAAACATGTAATTTGACCGATAATCTTTGTGTGTGTTCCAGTTCCTCATCGACTGTGCCAGGATGTCCAGTTTGCCTCATGTGACCTTCGTCCTCGGAGGAACAGAATACACTCTGACTCCTGAGCAATACGTTAGGAAGGTTCGTCTTCTCCTTCCGCCTGGCTTCCCAAATGGCCGACACTGAATGGCCCACTCAAGGCTTCATCACTCCTCCACTGCTGGTTTCTGTCGTCACTGTTTAGTTTATATGAAACACAAATGGTCACAAGAGCACAAAGTACGACTATCCTGCCACGTTGATTTGGATGAGAATGTTCATCATTACTTCATTTGTTAGAGACGATGATTCCAGCTTTATTCTGGAGTCTAAATACACAGTATGATGCTAAAACGTTGTCATCTTTCCCTCTCCAGGACACGCTCGCCGACAAGGAGTTTTGTTTTAGTGGTTTCCAGGCAGTGGACATTTTTTCCCCCCAAGGCCCCCTGTGGATTCTGGGAGATGTTTTCCTGACCGAGTTCTACAGCATCTTCGACAGAGGACTGGACCGGGTGGGCTTTGCCTTTGCTAAACACCCAGCCTAACTCCAACTCCTGGTTATTGGTTAAAAACCGACAATTGTATCATCAATAAATACTGGAAACGGTGAAATGGTCATTTTGTAAGTAGCTAGAAGAAGTGGTGTACTAGGAAAAGTCAAGGATTTTCGTATCCCCACCAACAGCACGATGATACGTAACAACAACGTTGTGATAGAACGTTCTGTCATTCATAAATCCCCCTCACGCATACTGCGCGACATGACGCCCCCCCGTCAGCCAGCAGTCACAGTATACGCACTACAAAAATAAAGACTACACCACCGACTAGAAGCATTAATCTAGTGGTCTATTTCCCGAGGCTCACAATCTGTGGTTCCGTCACCAACGACAAACTACCACCTAACAGGAGGCCGTTAGTCGCACTAATCGGATTTACTAGGTTTCTTTTGACAAATCAGTCACACTTTATTTGAAAAAGTGTTGTTTTTTAATATTCAGCAGCAACAGTTCTTGTAAATTCTTTAGTTCTTTTCTTCCATTAAGAAAAATTGAGGCATAAATAAGGCTTCTTTTTTTTCTGGCAGTTCTTTGAGCCAATCAGGCTGTGAAGTTGTGGTTTTGTTGGTGCTTTCCATCTTTGCCCAAGTTGCTCATTTCTAATATTTGAATTATTGTGTGTCTTTTGTCCCTCTGGTTTCCCATGGCAACAAGTAGAAAACCCATAATCCCGGCTTTAAACTTAGAGGCAACTTTTCCTCTTGGGGCTTTTCTTGTCGTGTTCTGAAGCTTTGAATCCGAGGTACCTCGTTGCTGCGTGAGTGGCCCTCATAGTTTCTCCGAGCTCTGCGATTGGGACTCGGGGTTCTTTGGCGCTTCCTCCTCGTCCTCGGCGCCCACCACTCCCTGGAAGTCGTGGTCGTACTCTGGGTCGGGCAGCTGCAGCGTGTTGGCGTGCGGACTGGGTGAGCGTTGGCATTGGTACCGAGCCAGGCCTCGCCTTCGCCTTCCCAAGGCCTTGGGGCTCGGCAGGCTTCGGACCGACGCCTTCGACCCTTGCCTGGAGAACTGGAGGGAGAACTGGCGCCTCCGCGGCCGGGTCGGTGGGCGACTCGTCCAACGGAATTCCTTCGGTCCCAACTGGGTGGGGGAGCAGCAAACCGCGTAGCCATTCCTGGAAGTACAAAGAATATTACCAAATCTAAGAGGTCACTGTTTATTTTGGTAACCCCACTTTCTCAAAACAGCAATATGAGGGTTTCATTGAGACCAGATTTGGACCTACAAAGACAGAAGTGACAACACCGACTTACTGGGATGCATCCAAACCCGATGCCTCTTCAGAAGGGGAAGGGTCCCGTCCGTTTGGTGGTTTTGCCGCAGCACCGTTGTCAGAAAAATAAACGGACAACGGCGGACTGATGACGAGCCGGGGAAAGACAGTCGAGGGCGGGCTTTCAGGAGAGGGAGGGTTGCTGCCCACCTCCCTTAAGGTGGACAGGGTGTCCAAAGCAGCGGAGGGTAGACCCACGTCCTCCAAACCTGGATTTACCCTGGATGGATCGACGGGTATGAAAGCGAAAGACTGACCGTTAATACGGTCAAGTAGAATTTAAATCAACCGATGTTGGCAAATTGAGTGAAACTGAACTTGAGGTCTGAGAAGAAGCTTCCTGTTGCACCACTGCTGTGCCGTTTGAAGATGGGTCGAGCAGATTGGAGCTCAGGAGGCTCCTGAACACTCAGCAACCGCCGGACGCGACGCAGAACCTGCCGAACAGCCACCATGTGATTGTCGAAACAATGATAGAGCCCCACCCTCCCCCAAGGCCGTACAAGTCTTTCTTTTACCGTTACCTCGTTACCATGTTTAGGTTTGTATGATCTTCATCAGTCTGTGGTAGCATTCGACTAATATTTGATGAATTGAATAATGAATGGAAGCTGTAGGAGAACAGTACAAGCAAAGAAATCCCTGCGGTGGAGCTTTGTAAATGAAGTAGCAAGTGGCGGTAACCACACCGAAAAGTATTATTGCCTCCCTCCATGAATGAACTGAAGACATTTTCCATATTTTCCACTCAGTTAACAAGCGCTTGTACAGGGTTTAAAAGTGAAAACAGAAATGCTTTACCGACTCTTGGCGCCCGGCCAAAACCGACTCCTGGTGCCGTGGGCGACTGTCGCTGACCTCAGTCTCGTCAAACTGCAGGATGTTGGACAGTCTGGATGAGACATCAGACGAAAGATTTCTATAACGTAGGCGAAGAGGCCGTCCTGTCGAGGATAATCGTCATGTAGATTATATTACGGATTAATATAAGTAAACACTGGCTCCCCGGGCAACAACCGCCCAGGGATCCAGAACTGGTTTCAAGCCATCGGCTCGCTGGGCTGAATTGTGCGACTCTTAGCATGTGTGCGTGTTGACCCCATGTCGGTGGTGGAGCCGAGGAAGGACGGGATGCAGTAGTCCGCGGCCGCCAGCGTGTACGGCGGGCGCGCCTCGCAGTCGTTCCAGTACATGTCTTTGGTCATGGGAGGCAGGTTCATGTGCATCTCGTCTACGGCAAGCAGGGACACCTGGAGGGACAGGTGAACAGGAAGGGACAACGATGGGAGGACTCTACCGTGGGTTCCGCGGTTCTCCAGAAATGAGTAAATGTTTTCTTTTCACTGTGTTTAGTCGGATCAAGAGAATTTAAAATCCAACGAGATGACTTATGTTCTTATCTTCACCCAACAAAACGACCCTCCATACACGTAATGTGCAGTATACGTGTCACATGACATTGCGTCCTGTGATCGGCCCACCTGGAGGTTCCTGTCGATGATCCAGTTGGCTTCGAAGTCGTCGTCGTCCTCTCCGAACGGGTTGATCAGCTGCTCTGCTACCTGAGCACACGGAACAGATCCGTCAGACGCGTCTTTTGTTACTCACGTCTGCAGGAGGAACCGACGGCCTCAGACAGGAAGTCAGGAGAAAACACTGCCGCCAAGTTTAGGTAAAATAAGGGATTTGTTAAGTTTGGGAGACAAAACTAAATATTTATGTTTGGGAAATGAAGGCGCTGGCTTGGATCAACAGAAGTACTTTGCTATGTTTAGACATTAAAAGTATTTGGTTCCGTTTAGGCAACCAACAACCAACCAAAGTACTCGGTGTACCTTCAGCCAGCCGGAGTAGAAGAAGAACTGCAGCAGCGTGAAGACGGGCACGTATAGGTCGAGGTCGTGTCCATGGTAACCCTGCGCCGGGTCGAGGAACTGACGTCCAATCAGACAAGCGAAGAAGAAGGTGTAGACAGCGAGCGTGACGACCTGGAGAGAGAGAGACAGGTTCCTCTCAGCGGGGGAGGAGCTCTCATTCAGTCACGGAGACGATGTCATCCGTCTTCCACTTGTTGGTGTGAGAATGTCTGTCGAAGATGAGACCTGCGTGTAGACGAGCGGGACGCCGACCCAGTCGTATCCAAAGAGCGTGGAACACCACGTCCTGAAGTGGTTCATCTCCTGGGGACAAAGAGCGGTTCAGCCTCACCATGTGTCACATTACCTTCATGTTCCTGGTTCATGTTGTTCACCGCTAACGAGGGTTTCCACTGGGGTCAATAGGGGGGGACACGTTGTACTTTGTCTGACAGGAGGTACATGTTGTACTTTGACAGAGGAGGTACATGTTGTACTTTGTCTCACAGGATGTCTGAAGGTACACGTTGTACTTGGTCTGACAGGAGGTACATGTTGTACTCTGTTTGACAGGATATCTAGAGGTAGTATTCACGTTGAGGAGGTTCTGCAGGTCGATGCTGTCCTGGATGCGTCCTTCCTGTCGCGCTTTGGACGCCAGGTTGGAGAACCAGACGACGGGGATCCAGTACTTCAGGTGAGGAGATCGGATGTTCTCAAACACCTTCCGCTCCTCTGCAGTCATGAAGCCTGCAGGTGGGTGAATGAGACCAGTCATCAGTATATCAGGGCTTGGTCTTACTTCAGATGGTCAACGATGAAGACAAGCAAAAATCAAGAAGATGGAAACAGCAAACGAGTAATTGTCAATGGTCATAGCTGAAATAAAGCTGAGCTCATGGCTCTCACATCTCGTACATTTTCCACTGATGCATTGCCAAATTATTCCCAAATGTTAATGTCGAGCGGAAATCCGACTTGATTAAATCTCTTTGCAAAAACAGGTTCATCATGATCAGCTTGGCTCTAATTGGCTTTTAACGAGCCAAAATCCCCCCGGCCGGATCAGACATTTACAGGGAGGAGCAGAAGGAGGCGAGAAGGAAGCTGAAGCCCGTCTGACCGTCATCATTTCACAACTACTCTAATGCCCGAGCTCAGCGATGAGGTACTTTAACCTCTCACCTGCCTCCACCACGTGGTCCATGGTGGGGAAGCGCTTGCAGACGGCGGTGCTGACGGAGCGGAAGATGAGCAGCGACGTCAGGTTGACGTAGCGCACCAGAGTGCGGCGCAGCAGGCGGCCGTACTCGTCTTTACCCCGAACACAGCTGGAAGAAAGACTTCTCTCTGAGTTCCTACGCACCTTGAACGTACCACCAGAACAGGGGCAGTGGAGGAGGGGCTTTACCCAGTTAAAAGTATCAATACCATCAAGTATTACCAGCGAAATGTACTTAAGGTATCGAGTACTCGCTATTCATTTGGTGTTTTTCAGTTTGCATCACGGAGCCTTTAAGGGGCCAAAATCTGTTATTTTTATTGGGAGGAAAAAACAGTTGAATCGCACGAGGATCCGCGCTCAGTGCGCGAAGCTCCAATGAACCAAAGCCCACGGACGGAGTCATGTGACCGGCAGGGGGTGGAGACTCACCTGTGGAATGGAGTCATGTGACCTGCAGGGGGTGGAGACTCACCTGTGGAATGGAGTCATGTGACCTGCAGGGGGTGGAGACTCACCTGGAGATGAGGACCATGAGTCGGTCCGGCCACGGCAGGTTAACGAACTGATGCCACCAGCGGTTCACCACCAGAGTGACGTAGAAGCCTGAGACAGAGGAAGTCCGATTAATCTGCATTTATTCTCGATTCATTGTTGACGGGAAGTCGTTTTCTGCAGAAACAAAGTGTTCTGTGACTGTGAATCAGATACAAACAACTATCCAGCTTTTAGCCTCTGAGCCACTAATGATCCGACTCCATTAGCAGGCCGCTCTGTCCCCCTCTCCCCCCCTCTCTCACCCTCTCCCCCTCTCTCTTACTACATTAATGCAGTCTTTTTGAAATAAACTTCCATCTTAACAGTAAACACATTAGTTGATTTTATATTTAAATACGCAAAGTCACTGAAGCTGTCTGATAAATATAATTCAGTAAAATAACCAACGAGGAGGAGAATAAAGGTAGTAAAGTGAACGTACTGCTCTCTGGGGTTGAGCCTTTTTCTCAGAGGACTAAAATTAACCTGACGCGTCGTGTGTTTATTAGTAACACAGCAACTGTGAATCTGACCAATGTGTAATCACGGGCCGGATAATGACATCATCAGGTTGTTGTCTTCAACAGACGTTGAGAATCCCAGTCTCTATGTGTATGCACGAGTAACCGTAGCAACAGCATTTCATTATTACGATTCATTATTAATTATGTAATGATTTGAGTCCCTTGTCATGACCCGCCCTGCTCTCTGTTACCGTGGCAACTAATCCTACTCCTCTCGCCATAACCAACCTGGACAGAGGCCGAGTGGGGGACATTTTTAAACCCGGCTGAGAGACTAATGTTAATAAAAACACCACTTGTTAGTTTTCATCATCATTTTCTGTATATTTTAACCTGCAGATATTGCTTTTAATTATGTCATACAAACATTTGAAACCTTGAATTGTTTAATCCTCTTTATTAAAGGATCCATGTATTTATTTATTTGTGTACTTCTTTATTAATATATCTATGTACGGGCTAATTCAGCAGCATAAGCAGTACAGAAATACAATAAAATCAATCAAGTAAATCAACAACAGCATATTGAGCGAGAGTCCTGGTTCAGGCAACAAAACAAGGTGTGAATTCATGAAGGGACTTTTTTAAGAGACGTACCGAGGACGAAGGTGACGGGAATCTGTTCGGCGTATTTATCGCAGTACATCGAGAGCTTCTCGAACAATCTCTTCTGATGGTCGGCGAGGACCAGCCTGTGGAGGACAGAAGCACATTTAGAACAATTACACCATTAGACATACAGCCCACCCCACCACCCCCTAAGTGTTGTACCTGCTTCATCTGAACTTCACTGGTTCAACGCGAGGTGAGGTCAAACATTCACGTTTAATAGCTGCATTCTGTGTAGTGACCAGCAGGGGGCGACTCCTCTGCTCCCATAGACGTCTATGAGGAAATGACTCTACTTCTCTGTAGTGACCAGCAGGGGGCGACTCCTCTGCTCCCATAGACGTCTATGAGGAAATGACTCTACTTCTCTGTAGTGACCAGCAGGGGGCGACTCCTCTGCTCCCATAGACGTCTATGAGGAAATGACTCTACTTCTCTGTAGTGACCAGCAGGGGGCGACTCCTCTGCTCCCATAGACGTCTATGAGGAAATGACTCTACTTCTCTCTGGATTTATTCCCTTAGTAAACATTGTAAACATGAGTTTATGTCTCAGTCTCTAGTTTCTTCAACACAACATGATGTTCATTTAGTGAATTATGGTCCAGAATCAAACAGACCATAAAGCAGGGGACGCTTTAGGGCGGGGCTACATGATTGACAGGTCTCTAATAGACCCTAAAGCAGGGGATGCTTTAGCTTAGTGGGCATTTTGCCTCTTCCTGCACAGTGACATTCATGTATTTCATGCATTGCTTAAATTGTAAAAAAATAAAAACGGGGCTACTGACCTTCCTCACATTAATAAATTACGTTTTCCATCATATGACATGTTTTATCATATCCTCCAATAGTTTGCATTTAAATTCCGTATTTTCTTCTGTAGACTGAAATGAAGAAGAGGAAGGCTCTTGTGAGTGGAGGAAGCACGCACCTGTAGACCACGCTGAGTCCGGTGTAGAGCGCGAGGAACACCACGAACTCCCGGTACAGCAGCTTGTAGATGCTCCCGCGCCACCGGAGCAGCAGCCGGTGGAAGCTGAAGAAAGTGGCGTTGGCCACTTTGCTGGAATACGTGACGGTCATCGCGGGCCGACCTACGGGAGAAAGTCCCGTTAGATCCACTGTGGCGTCACCGGACGACCCGAGGAGCCGTCGTTATTCTGGGAGCGCACTCACAGAAAGCTCCTGCTCTCCTGGGGGGCTTCAGCCGAATGCAGACCAACCCCCACGTGCGCGTCCAGAGTGGTATCGATGAGCCGCACGCAGGCATCATTCGACTGTGTGCGCGCGCGCGCGCGCGTTAGCATAGCATAGGCAGCAGTGGAGGTAAACACTTATAAAAAGAATCGCAGTCAGCAACAACGTGACGTCACGCTCGACCAATCACAGAAATGGTCATTTAAAGAAGTGAACGGCGTTTATCTGTACTCATTAAATCAGAATCAAATGCAATGTGTTGACTTTTTTTAACTAAAGAGAAGTTAAAGCTTATTATTCATTCAATGTGTTGTTGAGCAACATCTAGTGGCTTTAAAGGAACAGTTCAACATTTTATATGAAATATTCTTATTCTCTTTGTTATCATCGCTTTTTATACGTCGAGTAATTTAATGTATTGTCTAAACTTTACAGTTGTTGTTTTTTTGTTTTACTTAAAACTGTGCTTTGAAATGTTCATGTTTTTTGTTGTTGTTACTTTGAAAAGACTAAAATAAGTAAAGGTGGTTTATGTTGAAGTACAGATTTCGCTGTTTTTATATATTGTTAGGCATGTGCCTAATAATGAAATAGTGTATGATTAAAATCGCTGGTGTTACTAGTTGTGTAGTGTCTCACACTTATAACAAAAATAAAAACATTGAAACAAAGAGTTACATAAACGGATTTGGTCATTTTAGTGCAGCGTAAATAAAACAGAGTGAGACATCTAACAATGAAACATTTTTGAGATTGAAGGTTTTAAATTGGAAAAGTATTTATTTAGTAGTCAGCCTTCATGCACGCTCTTACTTTAGTGCAGAACAAAAAGGAGTGAGACGTCCTCTCTTCCGGTTTTTGTTTCCCACGCGCATGCGCAGATCGTCTCTGAGAGTGCCATCCATGAAGCGGACGCCGACCATATAGATGTGGCTTCCCCGTCAATCGGCACTGCGCTGCGGTCGGTTTGGCGTCTGGTGCGGGCGACGTTTGGGTGAAGTCAGCCGCTCTCAGACCAGTGGCGAGGCCCCGCCCCGCAGGCAGTGCATGGCGGTAAACTCAAGCGGGGACACACGGAGACCCAGCAGCATTGGAAGAGCCACCAATAGTCGGTAAAACAACACACTTCCTTGTTCTTATTAATATGAGCGACGCTTGGTATTTATAAGCAGCCGCCCGCCATGATTACGGCGACATTTAGGGTTTAGCATCAGTGTTAGCTCAGTGGCTAGGTAGCTAACAAGCCAGCTAACGAGGTGATTCCATTCAGCGACGGTTTCTTCCACATTGTCCAATCAGATGACTTGGGAGGCGGGACTTGGTGGTGACGACCTGACAACTGGCGGAGTCTCTGGATAATATGAGTTGTTTTGAAAGAATGATATTGTACCATGAAAAAAATAAGTTAGTAAAGTGAATGTTTATTTAACCTTTTAATTGGCTAGTTTCATTTTTTACACCCCCATGTCTTTATTTCTACTTGTATAGTTTCATTTCACTTTTCCAAAACCCTTGTTACACACAATAGATGTATCGATTTTACGTCAGTTTGTAAATTGGTACTTGATCAGCCTCCTGAATGTCGATCATCCCAAAGTTGTGCTTTATTTGAGTAAACACCTGGCCGACTTCCTGTCGTCGCTCCGCGTGCGCAGCAGCGCCATGCCGTCCAACGTGGAGATTAAAGCCAAAGTGAGCGACCCGACGCGCTTCGCTGAGAAGGCCGCCGAGCTCAGCCAATCAGAGGGCACCATCATCAGACAGCACGACACGTTCTTCAACTGCAGCCACGCGCGACTGAAGCTGAGGGACTTCATGGTAGTGTGTGTGTGTGTGTGTGTGTGTGTGTGTGTGTGTGTGTACACCGTGGCCTACAACTGACTCATTGATTGTTTGTTTGTCAGAACGGGACGGGTCAGCTGATCTTCTACGAGCGTCCCGACACCGACGGACCCAAACTGTCCCGGTACTCCATCAGTCCGACCAGCGACCCGCTGAGTCTCCGGGTAAAACAGCCCGAGCGAGTGTGCACGGCCACGCAGCGCCTTTCATTACAGCCGGACACATTTCTCAACGCTTAGGTCACTTTTTCAAACCTCTTCACACAGTGAGCACAACAGAAGTACATGTGGGCTAAACTGAGGATCCATTATCGTGGCTTTGGCACAGAATGCGTTCAATCACTACATCTTTCACATTTTATAATTTCATTTCTCGCTCCGACAAAACAACCGACAACTCTGTGTAGCTGCAGGCCAGTTTGCACATGTGTTCAAAACAATAACGTAATGCAACGCTGAAGGTCTCCTTGCGTTCCTGCATGATCTCTATGGACGTTGTGCTGGGTGAGCAAAGGGACGCAGAGAGAAGACATCAGCCAACATTTATACTCGTATGGGACAATGTGGCGTTTCACCGTCCCAGAATGGTGTCACGTTTCCTCCCACCTTACTCTCCATTCCTCAACCCCATAGAGGGATTCTGTCCCTCATGGAGGTGGACGGTTCATGACCACCACCCACATGATCAAATGTCCCTCCTGGATGCCTGGACATATCCGCAGGAGACGGCCAGGGATGGATCAGGCATAGATCGGGCATGGATCAGGGATGATCAGGCATGGATCGGGGATGGATCAGGGATGGATCAGGGATGGATCGGGGATGGATCGGGGATGGATCAGGGATGGATCAGGGATGGATCAGGGATGGATCAGGCATGGATCAGGCATGGATCAGGCACGGATCAGGGATGTCAGAAGGTTCTGTCCCAGGTGTGTTGACCTGATGACATGAGATGATGTGGATGAGAAGCTGTGGCCGAATAGATCAGCATCACTACTGTATCTGTACCAGTGGATGGTGTCCTTACATATTCTTGTGTTTTAGAATTACTCCGTGCAAACAAATAAAAAGTGAATAAAGGACATGAAATATAGTGAAGCATTCTGCATCATGTCTGATTCATTCCAGTAACATTTATTACAGTGAATCATAAACAGAGACGTGTCCTTGTTTTACACAAGAAAACATTGTATAAGCTTCATGTTGTTAGTGTTTGTCAGGTCGTTGTGTTGTGGGTGACAAAGTGTGTTTGTTGGCTCAACCTGTTCTGGTAGAATGA